GGATACTTTGTCACTAATAGGCAAATCTAGAACAGTTGTTTTACTTGTTTCTACAAAGACCCCAAAGTATTCCATTTGTTTCGCAATAGTTTTTTTTAATTATTTTATGCTTCGAGTTTAAGTGCTCTAATATGCTTTTTAATTTCTTCTATAAAAGAGTGATACAAATATTTCCCAGTTTGAGGTATCTGATTACTTTTGGAACCATGATTTTGAAAAAGAATATATAAAAAATTATATATATATATATATATATATATATGTGTGTGTGTGTGTGTGTGTGTGTGTGTAAAAAGTGTTTTTTTTCCAAGTATAGAAGTTTAAGTTGGCATTACTTTCCAAGATGGCGACCTATTTAAAAGCTGTCAAGTGATTTATTCTCAGTTTGGTTTGGCAATTCATCATGAATAGACTCACGCCTGAACAACGCTTTTAGATTCGTCGAATGGGCCCAAAACGAGATTGCCGTTGTTCCCGATTTTCATAAACGAATTTTGTTTAGCGATGAAGCGCACTTCTGGTTGAATGGCTACGTCAACAAACAAAACTGCCACATTTGGAGTGAAGCTAATCCACAAGTGTATGTCGAAACACTGTTACATCCAGAAAAACTGACTGTTTGGTGCGCTTTATGGGCTGGTGGAATCCTTCTTCAAAAACGATGAAGGCCACAACGTTACAGTCAATGGTGATCGGTATAGAGCCATGATTACTAACTTTTTCATTTCTGAATTGAACAATTATGATGTCCAGGAGCTGTGGTTCCAACAAGACGGCGCAACATGTCACACAGCTCGTGCCACAATCGATTTATTGAAAGACACGTTTGGTGACCGCCTAATTTCACGTTTTCGACCTGTGAATTGGCCTCCAAGATCTTGTGATTTAACACCGCTAGACTATTTTCTTTGAGGCTATGTAAAGTCATTGGTCTATGCGGATAAGCCACAAACGCTTGACCATTTGGAAGACAACATTCGCCGTGTTATTGCCGATATACGGCCACAAATGTTGGAAAAAGTCATCGAAAATTGGACGTCCAGATTGGACTACATCCGAGCCAGCCGTGGCAGTCCTATGCCAGAAATCATATTTAAAATGTAATGCCACAAGATTATCTTTCGAATAAAAAAATTTCATGTCAATCGAATGATACATCGTTGTTTTATTGCAATTTATATACCTCTAAAAAAACACCCTTTATATATATATATATATATATATATATATATATATATATATATATATATATATATATATATATATATATATATATATATATATATATGTATATATATGTATATATATGTATATATATGTATATATGTATTTAGTGTCAGTTTAATTATATGTATATAAAGAATACACATCAAATTCTCTTAAAATTTCTATAACAAGAAAAAATTATTTAAATTAAACAATCTTTTTGTAAAAGAAGAAGAAAAAAATTACACATTTCAAAACATTCTCCTTTTATGGAAAAGGCTTCGAAAATAATAACGTTTTGCTTGTATATGTTACCGGCAAAGTATGAAATGCCGGTATTCTATAGAAAGCCGGGCGTTTTTCGGCAAAGTATGAAATAAGAGAATTATTCCATACTTTGTCTAGGCATTGTTTAGAATGACTAAAGCTGTTTAGGCAAAGTATGAAATAAGGTCATATGTGTGTGTGATAAGGTAATATATCAATGACGTACATTTCTAAGTAATACAAATGTAATTCTGACAAAATAATGAGAGTGCCACTAAAGAGAAAAATATTCAAAATACGTAAAGGAAAAATACAGTTGTACCAAACAAAATTTATGTCTTGATTTTATTAAGGAAAACAAAATCTTCAAATAAAAAAATAAGAACTACTTATTGCACCATGTTGCACAATTAATCTACTTATTGCAACATGGTAGGCTTGAATGGTATTTTGAATTACATTTCATTACATTTTTCACGCAAAGACTATTCTTATTTTGCTACTTTGTTTTACACATACATTTGACGAATCCTTCGCCCCTTCCATTGGAATGAGCAATTGCAACTGACAGATGAGGAGTTTCATGGTCAGGAATATCTTTAATTCTAAGCAAGTTCTTAGGGTACAAAGTAAATTGTGATTTCTCATATACTTCTTTTAAAATTCCTTCAGAAGTTCCAAGTCGATAGAAACCAGTTTCCCACTCGTTACAAGTGCCAATATATTGGCATTGAGAAAATCATAAATTTCACAAAAATGCCTTTTTAAAAATAATTCTTCTGTTTTTTCTGTCAAGGTGCACAAAGTGGATGTACAGTTTAATATCATAACGTGTCACTTTTTTGTATTTGGTTGAAAGATCTTTTAGAATTCTATCACGTCCTCTCATTAGGCATTCTATAGAATGCCTAAGCAATGTGTGAAATAAGAATCATTTCATACATTGCCGGCTAGTTTTAGGCATTCTATACAATGCCGGATTTCATACTCTGCCGGTAATATATATATATCTAAAACTTTTCTACAGAGCCCGAACAAGAGTTTTTGAAACATTTCATTTAGAAATAGATTTAGTCATATTTTAATATAGAATAGAAAAAGCTTAACAAAAACACTAGTTATTTTTTCAATTGATGGTGACTAGGAAAATAATTTTAATTTTTCAAAAATCCTTGTTCAGGCTCAGTAGAGAAGTCTTAGCCATATATATAGGCAAAGTATTATTATTGTTGAAGAATTTTCTATAAAAGGAGAATGTTTTGAAAATAAATATTTTTTTCTTCAATTCTTGCCAAAACATTGTTACTCTTAAATAATTTTTTATTGTTATAAATTCTTGAATCAATCTTATATCTATATTCTAAATAGTGGCACTAAATATTAAAAACAAGTCATATAAAAAATTAAGTCAATTCCTACTTAGGTCAACAAAGAAACATTTTATTTTAGTTGCTTTTTATTAAATAATTACGATTAATATAAATATGTATATACATATGACACAATCACAATATTAAGTGGCAAAATAGAAAGTGATTTTTAGTTACAATTTTCCATTTTACTTTCTGTATAGGGTGTTGGACTATTTTTCCCCTTTCTATTTATTCATTGACCCTTTAATGGGCACAAAGCTAAAATACACTTTTCTGTGATAAAATACTTGATAGATGTAATATTCTCATCCTCTATAAGCAGTATTTAATCACACGAAAAAATACCTGATCAGTAGTTTTTTTTCCTGGGTAGTGGCTAGACGTTATAGCCACTGGGCACTCAAGACATTTAACTTACTTTTCAGGACAGAAATAATGAATTTTAACACGAAAATAAAAATGTCAACAACTCTTGCCACATACAACTCAAGACTTTATTTTTCAAACTGAATATTCCATCTCCTTATCTATTGCCATCGAAAGTTCCAGAACTTTCCATAATTAAAATTACAGTTAATTTTTATAAATAAAAGTACGCGCGCGCGAGCGTTAATATAAAGCATTAATAAAGCATTAATATAAAGCATTAATATAAAGCATTAATATAAAGCATTAATATAAAGCATTAATATAAAGCATTAATATAAAGCATTAATATAAAGCATTAATATAAAGCATTAATAATGCATTAATGCATTAATATAAAGCACGAGAGAAATAAAGAATTTCAATTTTTAACACGCTGGGATGAATGGTTAAATCATTACAATAAATAAATAATAAATATTACCATTTGTTACAGAATCATATTACAATAAACTTTTTTTGAAAATTCAACACTTATGCTGATAATTATTTCAATAATAATTAAATACAAAGTGCAAGTGTAATAAAATAATAATATAATAATTGTACAATATATATAAAATACTTACTGAAACATACATTGAAATTGGTATATATCCACATTTTATAATTTATTTTATTTTGGTATTTTATATAGTTTGTCAAAATTATCGCTGCTATTCTTCGGCTGTAAGGAATTAGCATTAATATGCAAATGTGAACGAATATATGCGAAGCGTTTCACCGACATTTGTTGAAATATATATTCATCAAGAAAATCAGGAGAATTAGACCAGTAGGCCTAGTAGGCAAGTGCTTGACTCCCATAACTTTATCATTTTATCATTAGAGCATAATCTTCATTCTTCTATTATTAGAGGCTGCTGGTAAGATCTGATGGTAATTCTTCAAATATAGCCAGAGCCTCTAGAAATGACAAGTTTTTTCTAGGCATTGTAACCCAAATATACTCAAATTCTACTTTATGTTAATAATATTAATAAAAATCAATGTACAATAATCTTATAAAACGGAAATGATAATTAAAAATATACACACATCTATAAGTAAAAAATATTTAAAGTATTTTATGCGCCTCAATAATACGCAAACGTTTTCTCCGAACAGAAAAGCTACAATGAAAGATTTTCGAACCCAAAAATCTTGTACCACATATTGTAAACAATATACATATTGTTTATAGTTTCCACCCCAACATTGTCACGTGATTCTACGAGCTTTCTCTCTCGAGTAGAGAAAGAGCGAAAATTTCAGGATCATTTTTCTGTTCTATGTGGGCAGTGGATAGGGCCTCTATCCACATATAAAAGATTTCCAAAAACCCAAATAAAAACTTTTTTTAATTGCACATTTGCTCAATTCATTCAGATGAGAGTAAAGTGTAATTAAGACATGTCAATTTTTTTTTCAATTATCAGAAATTTTATTTACAGTGATCAAAATACAATTTGTAGATTTACACCAAGAAAAACTGTTTTTATCTACCCATCAGAGGACATGAAATGCAAAAAAAAAAGAATGTATCTTGCTGCCATCTGTATTAATTTTTATACGTTTTAACTTCAATTAACGAATGTGGATAGACTAAATATCCACCACCCGCTTGGAGAAAAATTTTCTAATATGTGGCTAGACCTATTAGCCACTGCCCGCAAAAGGGTTAATTAAATTTAATTATTCTAATAAAATAGTATAGTAGAAAAGAAATCCCATTCTCTGAAATTAGGCCATCTCAGGTGGGATTCGAACCCATAACTTTAGGATTAGAAGTCTAATGCGCTATCCATCGCGCAACAGGGAGACAACAAGCACTTTTCTTTTCTTTATATGCTGTTGGACTATTTCTTTTGTTACTATTTATTCATTTTTTAATTTAATTAATGAATTGATATTTGAAAAAACTGTATTAGCATCAAATTTGAACCACTACAAGTTTTAAAAAATTTATTTGAACTTGAATGGATGAATAGAAAGTATTTTATTAAGGATTGAAAATATGAACAAGATATATATATTAATAAATATATATAAGGAGATAATGAACTATATATAATAGTATGAATTGAAAAAATACTACTTTTTTATATGCTTTTGCTAAGTCACGGTTCCGAACGTGATCATATTCTTTAAGAAATTGATATAGTCCTTACTTTTAATTAAGTTAATTGTTTAAAATTCAAGAAAACTGTAAACTAGTATTTTTTTATATAAAAATTCTAGAATGTCAGATAAACACACTCAACCAAACAAAAAAATCTAAGATTGAATTATTTCATTATAAAACATAAAATACATTTTTATAATAAGATATGAATCGGTAATTGAATACTTAAATAACGTTATAGATGATTCATTACACCAAATGCAGGTAACTAGAAGAACGTTAAATTCCCTCATCCTTCAAAACTGATCCAAATTAGAATCTTTAGTGCAAATTCATAAGATTTTCTTGGTGCTTTCGCTATAAATTTCGTTTTAAGGGATTGTGCTTGATGAAAACGTCGTGGTGATATCCGCCCACTCAAGACGTTAACATCTAGAAAAGTCTAGAATCTAATTTTAGTTCAGCGGCGTAGAATTAAATTTCTATCGTTTGTCATTTTTATCCTTGATAGGTAATCCGCTCTCAATTTGCCCTCCTTTCATAAAGACTGGAATTTAATGGCATTCTTTGAACGCAATATTCGATCAGATATTTCAGTCTAGAGATAGATGAAGATACTTAAGTATTTATTACTTTGAGGAGAGAAAGAGACTGATGTAAGTTCCTGTTTTACAAGTAAAAATAATATATGCGGCAAGCTCTCTCGTGCGCCACTATAACACTGGGATTTTTTGAGTTTAATGACTTCAAAATAGAACATTTTTTCTCATGAAATGTCTGAAAAGCTTTGTGGTATTTTCATGGTGTTTGCTCATTTTTTAACAGGGGTGGGTATTATGTCGACCGGTGGAACTTTTTGGGGTGACCGCCTGAAGATTAGCGGTTAGTAATTATATACCAAATTATTCAAGATTGGCTGACAGAATTCCAACTAAGTCTTCTATTGCCTATAACGAAGAGAACAAACTTTAGATTAAAATATTTTATTTTTTAAAAAAATCTTGAGCTGTTTGATAATAAATGTATCATTTGGTATTATTATATATATTTGTTTCCCGTATTGTTTTGTTTGTATCTTCCGTTTTGCTTTAAACGCGGTTTTAAAAGTGTGCGTTTGTTTCTTTCAATTAAATGGTAAATACGTATTCCATATTTATTATTACATTAAATATCGCAGACCTTTTTCTTACCTCACCACACCTACAACACTGGGTAGACCGCAACACATTGAAAAAGTTAAAAGTAGCCCTTACTCTGATAAAGTCTGCCCACCCCTTTTTTAGAATGACCAGTTACCCACACACACACAATTGCAGAAATTTTACCTTCGTACAGTAGGTATAAAGGCGTTCTTTTTCTAGTAATCGAGGTATAACACAATCCAATATTAAAGCAGGCATTAATTCTTGAGAAGCCCACTTGGTGTAAAATGATAATCAATAGAGAGAAGCGTCTGATTTCTGCGATTTAAATCTACCTTTTAAGCTTTTATCGATCCTTGTCTTATTAAAACAAAATGTTTTTGTTCCACGAATTCCTATCGTAAAACTGTTCTCAGAAAAGGTCAATACAAAAATCGAGCTCATTAATTTATTTCGTTTTTAATCAGTTTTTTTTTACCCAAAATGTTCCAAAAAAACTCAGATTTTTTTTGTTGCATATAAATAAACATACTACTTAACAGAAAGTGAAAATTGAAATGTTTTATTTTAATTTTTAATTTTAAAGTTTTCACAATATTTTTTTATTTAATAATTGTGGAACACAGAAAACTCTAACTGCTTGCTTTTTATATGAATACTGCTCTATATGCTTGCTTTTTGCACTCTTCATGCTATGTAGAATGTTTTATATATCTTAAAAAAAAATTTCTCTCACATTTACAAAACAAATTTCATGTTCATATCCCTTTTTCAAATAGTCGAGGACTTTGTATGTATGCATATATGTAAGCAGACACAATTTGAAGCATGGTATTATACTAAGTCTTGCATCACAATGGAGAAAAAGATTATAGCAGCATTTTGGATTATCTTTCCATTTTCATTTCATCTCAAATAACACAAATGGCACGTTGCCTTGCACACTTCTGTCCTTTATCGAATGTTTTCAAGAATCTAAATTCCTACCTTCAATGAAAAATTCCTGCCTTTCCCACAAAGAAAATTCCGGATAGGAAGTAGCTTAGTACCATGGACAAACTGCATCTCTTAAAAACACCCTAGCACTAATAATCTTACTATAAGATTTAAAAAGTGTGCAAATTAAAGATAGAAAGAAGAAAATATCAGTGCCCGTACGGTGTACGGGGAAAACGGTTGAGACCAGTTTTCTATTGTCCATTCGGTGTACCGGCAAACCACTTAAGGGAGTTGCAGCACAAAATGTTTCTTCATGTGTTCCTACTAAAATTTCTTTGAATCAAAAAAGGGAAAGTAACATTTTATGCTCAAAATGTTTTCTAAATATACTTCACACAATAGAATTATCTTTATAAAAGAAGGCTTTTATATTTAGCAAGCAACAGTAAAAAAATATTATTTTATTCTATCTGTCCGAAAATAATAGAAATCTTCAGTTCCCTACAAGAAAATTGCTTTTGATAAAAACAAAGAAGTAATTTCGTGAAAAAAAGGAATTTAATCACAATAAGTCCAGTATACATAAGAGTATGAAGCATTTTTTTTCTGTTTTATCCAATGGTCGCATTTTAACATGAATTTTTTCATGTGTGTTAACAAAACTCTACTTATGTTTTAAATTAAATTATATTCTCGTAATGTTCCGTATATTCAGTTAAAAGTTTCGTATATGAGCCTGTCTTATTTAGTGATAATGTCTCATACAGGTTAGCCGAACAAATGAATGGTGTAGAAAAAGTTTTTTTATTTATTAATTCTTACTACGAAATTTTTCATCAAAAAATTGTGCGTGCATGCTTTCCGTTCGTGTGTAAATAAGAAACGCCTCGCTCTACACAAAACATTAGGACCGAAAATAATTCATTCATTCATAAGAACACATATACATATTAAGAGAAAACTTAAAGAGAAAAGAATTAAATTTATTGAGAGTCACAAAGAAAGAAATATGTTTAACATAATGGAAATCGAATGAAAAATGAGGATGCTTTGCAAAACTTAAATCTCAAATAGACACTTGTGATTAAATTTGGGGATAGCCGATAATTTGAGAAAATTGGTATTATTAGATTAGCTGGACTACACAAATCTATTCTATACATGAATGTTAATTTTCATTTGTTAAGCTTGTGCATTTTTCTTTTGATTTCCATCATTAAACTTTTTACTTTATAACTCACAATATATTAAATTCTTATTTTTTTTATCTAATTTTCTATATTTTTCATATAATACCTTCTAAATATCTAAACCGTATTAACAGAAACAATAACCCATTTGCAACAAATTACCTTGATACATCTCTGTATATTAAGCACAATTAGTTAAACATTAATATTTTTTGATAAAAGGAAAGCCTTTGACTTAATATTTTAAAGTACTCTTTTCGAATAGTAATAGTCATATTTCTATTTACAGTTATTTTGTCTTTAATTATTTACAATGTGAAAGTTTTAAATTAATAAAAACAATTATTAAGTTAATAATGTTAAAAAATGTATAATTTATTGCTTAGATCAAGAACTACCCGATTAGTTTTCTATATGTGTACATTCGTAATAAGTTCATATCACATGTTTGTTATAAGAGTTTCTTAATTTATTTTAATGTTTTTATTTGTTCTTAATTCTCCTTTTTCCGTACTATTTTCTTTTAGTTTGTTTAGTTTTACATAGATGTCACGACATCATCTAATTAGTTGAATAATTTTTATTTCATTTAGCCTCTTTTTTCAATTTTAGTTATTGACGTATTTTCTTTCCTCTCTTAAATATTTTTTTGAATAAAAATTCTTATGTAGTTGAATGATTTCAACAAAAAAATTTAAAATAGGCTTTTTGTAGTATGTTGAAGTGTTTGTGTTCCATGTCTTCTTTCCGATGATGATCATTTTTGAAGATCTTGTTGACATGTTTGCTAAATACATATTTTTTTATTTAAACCTTTATCATTTGTAATTTTTCAATTTCTCTAGAGTTGTTTTTTTTTAGTTTTTTTCTTACTTCCCTTATGTATATTTCTGTTAATACCATAGTATTTAAGTTTCATATTTTTAGAAAATCTTATAAATAATTTTTTTGCATTCTAAATACTCTTGTTTCTCAGCTGAGTAATAGAGAGAAATATTGGTGTCTGTTGAACAATGCTTAGTTCTACAATTTTAGTCTCCAAGACTGAGAGTTTGCTAAAGTAGGATTGTGGTCAATATAATGTGTACTACACTGTGTATTTATACTTTTACCCATTGCTTAGTCTCGGGTTAGACATAGAGTAATTTAATACACGATTAGTGATATATAAACGTATATGTAATACATACATACATATATATATATATATATATATATATATCCTGTGCAAAACCGACGTGGCCACAGTAGCCAAAGTGGTCAAGGTCACAGATTCATGGCTTGCGTTTCATGAGTTCGAGGTGAGAACCGCTGAAAACCCCACCGTGTAGAGGTGGCCGATACACGTTAAATTTGCCGAGGAACAGATGTCCTCCCGTTGGTGTGGTGTGGAAATTAGAGGAGGATATGACAGCGCAGATAACGTCC